TTTTTTTTTTTTTTTTTTAATGGGTCTTAAAGGAATAGTGAGGCTTTATTGGGGAAAACAAAAGTGTTGCAGGCTGGGAGGCAGATCATGCACTAAGAGTCCAGCTTCAGAAAGAGCAGCCAGGAAGTCACAGATCACTGGCAAGCTGACTTATGTGGGCAGCAGCTGGCCCTGTGATCTGGTGTTAGGAAAAAGGTGGCCATGAGGCTGGGAGGGCAGCAGGTGGGGCAGCTGGAGAAGGACCAGGCGGTGGGGGGGAGGGCTTGGTGTGAGCTGACCTAAGAACCAAGCCCCTTAGGCTGGGGCCTGCTTCGTTCATTGTTTCCTTCAAAGTATATTAATAAAAATTAGCCATTTTAATGCCACAATCCAGGGAAGTGAAATGCCAAGTGTTACTGAGCTTTTTAGAGACTCCACTCTCATTTTTGAGAGACCAAAGTGTATTAGAGAATGAAGTGCAGATTTGTTTACAGTAGGATCCTATGTTATTTGGTTTGCTTTTTGTTTTGTTGTACTGAGGATTGAACTCAGGGCCTTTGCACTGGGCTACATCCTCAGCCCTTTTCATATTTTTATTTTCTTATTTTGAGCGAGTCTCATTAAGTCACTGAGTTGCCCAGGCTGGGCTTGAACTTTTGATCCTTCAGCCTCAGCCTTTCAGAATGCTGCATTACAGGTGTGTGCTGACCAGCCAACCCCGTGTTTTTAAAAAGGCCCCAGGCAGGGGGGATGCTAGTAACCAGTTTGCTTCAGAAGAGTCCAGCAGATTGAGCCCGGGCTTCCCTGTCAGGATGCTCAGAAGCTCTGCAGCTCTGTGACCTCAGAGAGTCACAGCCTATTGGAGTTCACAGAGGACCAATCAGTTGGCTGCTGGGTTCTTCTGCTGCTCACATGCTGCCTCCAAGTGGGAGCTGGAAACCAGCCTGTAGAAACAGATAATAAACAGGCATCTGTGCCCAAGGAGTGATGTGTTTATTTCCCTGGAATTGGTGGCTTTGTTTCTGAGGCTTTGCTGATTCAGCCTGGTGTTGTCCGACATCCACCTAGCCGCCGAGACCTCAGCCCCAAAGTACTTGTGTTCCCTGGATGGTGCTGACCTAATGTCACCGCACTCTGAAACTTTATGCAGTGAACACACGCTTACTAAACACTTCCTGTGAATGAGACAGACGCCAGCCCTGGCTTTGTGGAACTGGCCGTGTTATGGGAGAGGCAGGTATGGAGCAGACCATCCAAATGGAAAGTGCAGGGAGCTGTGATAGCATAGAACAGGGAGAGGAGTCCAGTCGGAGGGAGGGCCGAGGTCAGGGTTGGCCTTACCCAGGAAGGAAGTCTCCCTGGTTTCTGAGGATGCTCAGGAGTGGGGTAGGCCAAGAGGCAGGCTGAAGTAGCTGGGAAATCCCCCTCACCAGAGTGCTGGTAAGGAACATCCTTCAGCCATGCACCCCTGGCCTACCTGGTGCCTTTGGCACTGCTGTCAATCTCTCTTTCTTAAATTCCCTCCCTCCCACCCCCATCTTTCTTTTTTACTTTCCTGCCAGCCTGGCCTTGTCCCTTTTGCTGGCTTATTTTGATCACCTCTGCCTTGCTATAAAATGTCCTTGCTCTCCAAGACAAGAATGGTGGACAGTGACGGCAGGAAGCCAGGCTTGGAGAAGGTCAACTTGGCCCCCGCTTTATTCTCTTTCATGGTCACGCGTTAGACGAGCAGGAGGCTCTGAGCACTGTGGTTCCATCTGTATAAGGGATTCCTTCAGCCAGGGCAGTCTGACTGGGGTAAGGCCTGTACGGCGCTTAGATCGGGTTTGTGTAAGCCAGGAGTTTGCACACTCCTTTCTCTTTCTGTGTCAAAAACTGACTTGGTTCAGTTTACTTTGTTTTGTTGGTTAATCTTGACAACTTGATTGACTTAAAAGACACATAGGAAATAAGAAGAGCACACTTCTGGGTGTGTTTTGTGGATCAAGAGAACATGATTTTTGGGACTGTATCTGGTCCCTGGTTCCTTTCTCTGTGGCTTTTTCCATCTCTCTGCTTCCTGGCTACCATGAAGTGAACAGCTTTGGTGTGCCTTTCTGCCATCATGTTTCTGCCTTGGAGCCACCTGACCATGGACTGAAACCTCTGAAACCAAGAGCCAAAATAAACCATTCCTCTTTAAGTGGTGGGTGTCTGGTGTTTTGTCCCAGCAATGCAAACCTGGCATTTCTGGCAACAGTGCTCATGGTAAAGGTGTCCCCACTTCTTCTCTGTTTGACTGTGGGCCTCCTTGGTGTGGTATCTTTTTCTAGTCAGGCAGATTCCTTGCAGGAACCCCCAGAGGCACTCTGTGGGATTATCTCAGGAGATGCAGGTTCCTGCGGGGCCTGGGCCAGGGTGGCTCCTGCACCACTGGCTTACACCTGACTTGGCAGCTGGATGTGCCTTAATCAGTTGAGAAAAAGGATTAAGCCGTTCTGGGCACAACATTGTGTCCATTCATCTGCTGATGGCCTACTACATGGTGGGTGCTGGGAAGACAAATTGAGCAAAGCAGATCCCTTCTCTGCACTTAGAGTCTGCTATAAGAGCACCTGATATATGAAAAATGTTCCATATCACTGGTCATTGGAGAGATGCAGATGAAGACAACACTGAGATTCTACCTCACTCCAGAAGGAATGGCTGCTATCAAGAAATCAACCAATAACAGATGTTGGCAGGGATGAGGAGAGAAAGGAACCCTTCTCCATTGTTGGTGGGAGTGCAGACTGGTGCAACCACTATGGAAATCAATATGGAGATACCTCAAAGAACTAGGATTAGAGGTTCCACTTCTCCCAGCTATCCCTCTGCTGGGTATCTTTCCAAAAGAATTAAAAGAATCATATCACGGTGATATATGTGCACCCATGTTTATAACAGCATAATTTGTAATAGCTAAAACTTGGAAACAGCCCGATTGCCCATCAGTTGGAGACTGGATAAAGAAAATGTGGTTTTTCTATAAAATGGAGTACTACTCAGCCATAAAGAATGAGAAATTAGAGTCATTCCTAGGAAAATGGATGCACATTGAGGCCATACTCTTAAGTGAAATAAATAAGACACGTGTAAATACTGAATAGTTTCTCTGATGTGAAAAACTAAAAGTGTAAATTGTATAACTGTATACAAATTGTATAACTGACAATGTGAAATAGGAAGAAAAGGGCTAAAGGTTAGGGGAAGTGGGAAGGGTAGGGGAAAGGAAATAAGGGCTCCCGATAAAATGTACGCTGTGCTTTGAAAGTGTAGAGGGCAGGTTGGACCTAGTCTGGGAGGTCAGAGAAGGCTTCTGAAGTGAAGGAGTCAAGCTGGAGGTGGGAGCTGAGTGCTTACAGAGCAAGTGCTTACTAAACAAAGAATAGAGAGAGGAGATTGCAGAAGGAGAGAGCAGGATGGGCACAGACAAAGTGGAGAGGGAAGAGAGCAGGCAGAGCTATGTCATGCAGGTCCTTAGGGGCACTGACCTGTGCAGCCCTGGGGAAGCCTACTGAGAGTTGATACCCTTGCTTCTGCATTTTAAGAGCAGTGAGAAGTAGCTTAAGGCAGGGGAGTGTGTTGGTCGGAGAGGGTGCTGACTTCCCGAATTTACAGTTTGAAAGGCTTGCTCTGTATGCAGGATGCTGAGGCTGAATCTGAGTGGGCAGGCTTTGTGGAGGATCAGCAGCAGGAGGGAAGTCAGCCTTTGACTTCAGGGATTTTAGCTGCTCAGCTGAGCTGGGCTGCCCCGCTCACCTTAATTTTGGTCTCCATGACGCCAAACACTGTACGGAGGAAGTGAGCTGTATTGGGAAATGGGGATTGCCAAGGACAACCCAGCCACGAGCAGGAAACCTTCAGAGCATTCATAAGGATGAATTGGTCCCACGACAGTATTTTCTGTGGCTTGGAGAACTGCTCCTGGCATCAGAGACAGACATTTTCCATCAAACAGGATGAACAAAAATCACATTTCTCCTTTTTCCTCTCTCTCCCTCTAGGCTTATATTTGGCACCCTTTACCCTGCATATTATTCTTACAAGGCTGTGAAGTCGAAGGACATTAAAGAATACGTAAGTAGAGCTATTTATCTTGGAAAGGGTGACTGAAGCGATAAGGAGGCTACCACTGGCTGTGACGTTGCAGAAGGTGGGTGCCCTCCCTGGTGAGGACACTGAGTCCCTTCATCATGCTTCTTTTCATGAGGCCTCCCGGGACTCCTGTCCTGTCTATACCTGTCCCCTGTCTAGACCTTGAATGCTGAAATGAGAAAAACACTAAGGGATACAGCGAGAGGAAATGGACTCTGGAATCAGAGGTCCTGGCTCTGCCATGTGCCTCGTGTGACTTTGCCTCCCTCAGCTTCAGGTTTCCCTTGTATGTAGAACACTCTGCAGAGCTGAAAGCATTGTCACTGGGGACAGCCTGGCCTCAAGGGTGGGGGCTCAGGTCCTAGAGTCCAGCAGACTAGGTTTTGTCCTGATTCTAGGACTCTGACCCTACTTTAGTCGGTGATTCCAACACCCATGGTTCCAACCCTGTTGCTGTTGAAGCTTTTTGAGGGCAGGATCTGTTCTTCATCCTTTTTTTTTCTGCACTTTGCAGAAGGCTGCGTTCAGGGAAGGGGCCTGGGAAATCTCCCTGGTTGGAGAATTACATTAATTACTGTGGGTGATGGCATGCCTCAGGCACCATACTTGGGTGTCGAGGCCTCCTTCAGCAGGATATCCACAGGTCACTTCTGGTTGACAAAACCATGCTACAGTGAGGGATGAGGAGAGATGGGTGCCTTTCCCCATGTAGGACAGCAACCAGGGAAAGGGGCAAAGGATATGGATTTAGATCCACAGGTCACTTCTGGTTGACAAAACCATGCTACAGTGAGGGATGAGAGATGGGTGCCTTTCCCCATGTAGGACAGCAACCAGGGAAAGGGGCAAAGGATATGGATTTCGGCACAAAAAGACAGAGGTCGGACCGTGGCTCTGACATTTGAACCTCCAAGAGCCTCAGTGTCCCCATCTGAACAATAGGGTGGGAGACAGCAATCCCTCTCTCTCTTTCATGCAGAAGATGTCACCAGCAAGTCTGATGTAGGTAAAGAAATAATTGAAGCTGGGCATGGTGGTTCATGCCCGTCATCCCAGCACTCAGGAAGCAAGAGGATGCTAAATTCAGAACCAGCCTGAGAAGCTTAATGATTTTTGAGACCCTATCTCAAAATAAGAAATAAAAAGGGTTGAAGATGTAGCTCAGTGCAATGACCATGTGTTCAATCCCTAGTAACGCACATATACACATGCCCCGGCCCGCGGGGTCAGTAATCAGCAGAGCTCGAGAAGGGGAGATACCTGGAAATGGGACAAGAGAGGCGCAGAGAGAAGGAGACCAAGCAAAGAGTTGTCAAGGTCTCGTTTATTTGCAGGCACAAGCAGTATATAAAGGCAAAAACCACAAATTTGTAAGAGGAAGTGGCTAATCATAAAATGATAAAGGAGAAACATATTGTACAGTAACAGTTATGATGAGATACAGTTGTTATGTAACAGATTAGGTCATTAAATGAGCAAGGCCATTAGTACAGTCATTGGCACGTCTGTGCCAGTGAGGTGATTCAGATGTAAACATGGAGGCGGTTATGTTAGGCTCAAAAACAACTCTGAGAATATGAATATTTGGTCTCCTACATACACACACACGCACATACACACACACACACACACACACACACGCATGTACACACAATAGTGCTGAGTGGGTTTTGCAAATCATTATTGTCTTAGACTTCCCAAGCAGCCATTATGGTGGCACCAGACACCTCCCAAGCTTCCCAGAACAATGGATTCAGCTCTCATTTTGGTGCTCCACAGAAGGGGTAATTTCCCCCGCTGAAGACCCTGCCTGGTGTGTGACTTTCAGTGATACACACACGCATGTACACACAATAGTGCTGAGTGGGTTTTGCAAATCATTATTGTCTTAGACTTCCCAAGCAGCCATTATGGTGGCACCAGACACCTCCCAAGCTTCCCAGAACAATGGATTCAGCTTGCATTTTGGTGCTCCACAGAAGGGGTAATTTCCCCCGCTGAAGACCCTGCCTGGTGTGTGACTTTCAGTGTACACACTATAAATAGCTGGGAAGTTGCAACACAGAACCTCCCGGTTCTCAGTAGATTTGGCCCTGGGTAAGGCCTTAGGCCACCTCTTCCAGCCCTCCCTCCCTCTCCGGGCCCCTCCCCGCTTCCAGCACACAGCACCTGTGCCAGGGAGGAAGCCAGACTAGGGTCACCAGGGTGCAAGGGCCGATCCTCCACTTTACAGGGGCTGGAAATTCTCTTAGCTCAACAAGGAGAGGCTACCCTGGTGCATTATCCGTGCTGACTAAACTCACAGGAGCCTGGTCTGCGATTGGGTGGCAAGTGGGTAATTGAGAGCAGGGCCTGTCACTGACAAGCAGGGCAGCTGTTAGTGTTGGCTGGAGAGCAACTTGCTCGCTGCCTGGGGAAGCTACGGAGTTGAGATTAGCAGGTTTCTGGGTAGAAATGGAATGGGAAGGAAGGAGCCGAGTGGTAGCAGGGGTGTGTTCTCTGTGCTCACACTCACTGTGACATGCGGGCACACATGCGATATCACGACGCTCTCACACTCACTGTCACAGTCATGCGCTGTCACACGCATTCACTCTTACGTGTTGTGACTCATACTCTCTTGTTTTGTTTTGTTTTTCCTAGCAGTCTTTTTTGACTCCTACCCCCATTTGCCCAAGAGAGAAATCTGAGAATTTCCTCTCCCTCACCAGTCAACTCCACACACACAGGGTTGGTGACTGTGTCTCTTTACTTCTAGCCCTCCATGGTCTTTCACATCTCTCTTCCTGCTGTACTGCTACTCTCTGAAATGAGCTCCTTCCCCCATGGGATCAGTCTCATTTTGTTTGTTTTCTTTGCACAGTGGCCTTTGTACTATATCCAGCCCTTAAAAAATTTTTTTTGGAGAGTCTCATTAAGGTGCTAAGTTGCTCAGGTTAGGCTCCAACTTGCAGTTCTTCTGCCTCAGCCTCCTAAAGTGCTGGGATTACAGGTGCGTGCCACCACATCTGGTTTGGAATGGTTTTTTATTGTCATTGTAATAAGTTATCATGATCTTGGTGGCAGAAAGACAACACAAACGCCTTATCTTACAACTGTGCACCTCAGAAGCCTGCCAGGTCTCCCCGGGCTCCAGTTAGGTGGAGCTGTGTTTCCTTCCTGTGGAGGCTCCGGAGGAGAGTCCATTTCCTGCGCTTCTTGGCTTGTGTCCCTTCCTCTTTTTTCAAAGCCAGCATATTTCCATCCCTCTTGCATATTTCCATTGTCACTTCTGCCTCTCCGCTGGCTGGGAAAGGTTCTTCCTTTTTAAGAATGCATGAGACTATGCTGGTCCAGGGTAATCTTCCTATATGAAGGTCTTCAATTTAATAACTCTGCAAGGTCCCATTTACTTGTATCATACGGGATTTAGGATATGGATATCTGTGGGAACCCATCATCCTGCCTACCATACCTAACTGGCTGCCCTGTCCATCCCTTCTTTCCCACTCTGTTGTCCATACAACATTCAGAGACCTTTTAAAGACAGGAATCTATTAATCTCACTTCCTCAGGGTCTTTTTATGGCCTCAAGATTGAGGCCAAACACCCGAATACAGAATTTAACATTGTTCCTATAATCCCAGCACTCAGGAGGCTGAGGCAGGAGGATCACTGTGAGTTCGAGACCAGCCTGGGCTACATAGTGAGTTCCAGGTCAGTCTCAACTACATAGTGAGACCCTGTCTCAAAAAACCAAAAAAAAAAGAATTCAGCATTGTCCTTGATCTTATATCTTCCTACTTGCAAGCTGCTTCTCTGCAGGTGTTTAGTGCTCTCAGTAATCCGTGGACCAGCACTGACATCGCTGGCAGCTTGTTAGCCATGAAGCATCTCAGCCCTACCCACCCTCCAGTAAAAAAATTATAATTTTAGCAAGATTGCCAAGTTGAAAACGTCACTTCTGTTGTTTTTGTTACCAGGGATGGAACTCAGGACTTCGTGCTTGCAAGGCAGGTGGCGGCACCACTGAGCTAACCCCTGACCATGAAAAACCTCACATTTTTTTTTAAACATCACTCAATATTAATCTTAAGAATCTTCCCCCACCCAAGTACCAGGGATCAAACTCACGACCTTGTACTTGTAAGAAAAGTGTGGTGCCACTGAGCTAGATCTCCAGCCCAAGTCTGGGCTGAGGTTTTGCCTCCTACAAAGACCCTCAATGCTGGGAGGTTCCTTGGATCCAGAAAGCTTTGGATCCTGGGTAGTCAAGAAAAAAAAAAACTAAAAACCAGCAATTACAGTTAACTCTTTAAGGGCCTGGGATTTAGCTCAGTAGTTCTGGTGACTGCTTTGCAAGCACAGGGACCCGAGTTCGATCACTGGTACCAAAAAAAAAAAACAAAACAAAAAACAAAGACAAACAATACAGTTAACTCTTTAGCTGCCTAAAACCTACATATGCCATTTGAAGCCTTTACCTATATTTTGGTTTAAAAAAACAATCTTCTGACAAGAATTCTTGCTCACTTTTAAATCCAAAATTTGTTTTGTTACTGAGCCTACCACCAGGTCCAGCATCTCTGGGCAGAGTCCTTTCCTCCTCTGGTTGTGATAGGTCCCTGGCTTGGTGTCCAGCATTCAGCCTTGCTAGCTGCTATGCTGTATCTAGGGGCAGAGGGAATACATTAAGACATAATTACAGTGAACCCTTGACTTGCTAACAATTCTTTTGCAAGGGCTGGTTGTAACTCACGTTGGTCAGTGAAGGTTCAGGCTCCTCGATACAATCCTCAAAGTCTTTCTCTTGTATACAGGCAGACCTCAGCGTCCTTAGAGAGACATTGGCCCAGCATTTCTCAGTTAACCCGTCACAGGAAAGAATGTAATGTTCCTTCCAGAACTCTTTAAGGGTTAAATCTGTATCTGAGGCCATCTGGAAGTGGCCAGCATTTGGGTCATAACTCAAGACTTTGGTCTTTAACTTAAAACTAAAATGC